TAGAGAAAATGGACATACTCAAAGTTGGTTTTGGAAAGGCCATGGCCGTCAGAGGAGTATGCAGATAAACACCATAAGGATTTGGAGTTTCAGATAGGAGATCGAGTAAACCCGAAAATAAGGACATTTCAGGGAGGACATAAGATTCGACAGTTAAAGAAGAGTAAATCAAAATATGTGGGAACATATTCTATTGTGGAGCGGATTGGAGCAATTGCATACATATTGGATTAATCAGTAGAGTTATCAGACTTCCATGACGTGTTTCATGTCTCGGCTTTAGGAAAAGATGTAAGAGAGTCAGAGCTCGTTTTTGCAGTAGTCGTCAGTTAACCTCAGCGAGATTGTATGCGTCTTGTCAGCAAGTGAAGATTACAGATTGTCAGATAAAAGCATTTGAGGGAGTGTCGACTATGTTTGCCAGAGTTTGTTGGGAAAGATGGGATTCAGTAGAAGATTTCAGAGTCCGAGCATACTGATTATTTGGAGATTTGCTATGATGATATTGGATAGTTAATGGATGACTCGAATTTGAGGATGAATTCTTTATTAGTGGGGGAGAATTGTAACAACCCAAAATTCAGGATTTATTAGCTTGCTAAGACTAATTCATTTCCTCTATAAATACCATCCAGCCCCAGCCATCAGTTCTTGTTGCAAAAAAAAAAAAAAAAAATAGAGAGAGAGACCAAGAAGAGAGAGAAAGAGATAGTGAAACGGGAAATCCTTGTATATGAGCCACTGGAGTCATCGCCGGAGCCACCACACGTCGTGATCAAGCTGAGCTTGTCACCACCGTTCGTAACCACCAGAAGCCGCCGTGAACCGCCTTGCCATTAAGCTTAGTTCCAGCCGTTTAGTAAATCGCCGATAACTTATACACCGTTGAGAATCTCGTGCATGCAATGCCACCACCTTGTTCTACTCATCGAGAAGAAGTCATAGAAGCCAAGAACGCCGCGTTCCGACCTCAGACGAAGCCACAGGCCCCTTCAGAAGTTTTGCCAGAAATCGTCTCTGCCGCCGGACCGCCGTCGCCTCCGGTAAGTCGCCACCGGTGACTCACCCGCGACTCGGCTAACTCGTCTGAGTCGACTCGGTGAGTCAACTCGGTTGACTCGATCAATGGTTGGTTTGACCGGTTTAAATTGTTTTCGGTTTGGTAAGGATAAACCGGCCGTTAAAATTGATTAGATTTTGGTTAGGATAAACCGGTTAATTAAATTGATTTAGTTCGGTTAGCGCGAACCGGTTGGCCCAATTGAATTCAATTTCGGTTAAGGAAAACCGGATGGTTTAATTCAATTTCATTTTGGAAAAGGTTTGACCAGGGTTGACTTTGACCTGCGAGTTGAATTTTTGACTAATCCTCCCAAAACCCATTTCTAACCGTTCGAAAGCCGTTCTGACTCGATTTTTTGCCCTGGTTTCAGATTTGGAGTCTATTTGAGCATCAAGAGTTCATAGACACCACTTCTCTTCATTGCTAAGGTGAGTGCTACTCCGTTAAATCCTGAACTAGTTTAGTACTACCATTATGGAAAGTTTAGTTTCAAAACATGATCCATCTTTGTGAATCGAGTCTGCTTGAGAGTCTTGCTTTTTCATTATTTTCATTGATTGTTAAACCGAAATTAGGATAATAGAGGATTCAACGGTTGTGTGACATGATTAATGTTAAGATTTGATATATATATGTATATATATACGTGTCGATGTGTGAGAGATTGCGGGGGTGCAGAGACATCTGTACTAGCGACGCCTTGTTTGAGGAGATTGCGGGGGCACATAGTTGTCTATGCTTGCGCCGCCTTGTTTGAGGAGATTCGCCGGGTACAGAGACGTTTGTACTAGCGGGTTGTAGAGATTGCGGGGGTACGGAGTGGACTACCGTACTAGCGACGCCTGTAGAATTATACACGTATATCCTTATGAGGAGAATGCGGGGTGCAGAAAGTAGCTATGTACTATCATCACATTGGTTGTAGCATGTCTAGTGCACTAGACATATGTTGATTGTTCCGTGTCGTGTAATAGGCACCTTGTTTGTTTCATGCTTGAGCTATGCCTACATTCTTGTAGTTCTATGAGCTGAGTCAGTGGTTGGTGGTTTAACACCCCATACCTCACTAAGCGACTCTCCTGTTGCTCACCCCTCCTTTCTTTCCCCCTTTCAGGTGAGACCGATGAGCAAGAGTAATTATAACGGATCGGTGCTTTTGGACTTTTGGGCTTTTACCGCTATTTGAGATTTTATTACGTGTATAAAAAAAAACAAATTTTAGAAGTTATTTTAATTACTGAATTTCCGACATCTACTTTGACTTATCGATATTTTTAATAAAGATATTATTTATTATTATATTATTATTATTGGTTCCAAAGTAACAGGTGTCACATCCTCTTTTCTCAATACATGTTAGTGAACAAGATTCATCGTCTTCAATGATTTGTTATTTGTTATGAAGCTTGCTTACAGATATGTCGTCATTGGTTGGTAACAAATTGTGTTACTGAGTCTTCATACTTCCTCAAGATTGATCACTTTTTGATCTGAATGCATTTGGGTTAGACATGTTTTTTTGGACAACATGTTTTGTTATATGTTTTGTTGTAATCTTCGTGTGGTGCCCCCTCTTTTTAATGTTAAGAATGAAATATATAGTTTCCAGGATTGCTCCCTTGAATCTGAAGAACTACTTGGAGTTGGACCTTTTAACTTGGTTACCTATCAAACTACTGCTAAGAATGTATCAAACAGACTATAGTGTAACAGACTATGGTGTAGGATGTTGTGTTCTATCTAATGACCTAATGTAGGTTGAGTTTGGTTTCCAGTGTGTAAATAGAAGTAGTACACAAAACATATAAAACTCTTTTGACTTACATTAAAATAATCTAGGCATTACTAGAATCTGAAATCGAAAATTTAATCATGTTAATGGATTAATCTTTCGGAACTTTTTACAGAGAGGCATACTATACTAATAAGGTGTATTATTCACTTTAGTTGAAAATCTGTTTAAGTTTGACAAAAAACAATGTTTCGAAAATCAGACCGAATACTGGTATAGTTGGTCGAACCAGATCTTCTATTTGTAAGAAATTAAATATATATAATTAAATATTTTTACTACATGCACTTAAAAATAAATAATAAACATAAATCTAATAATATATATAGTAAACAAATGAATACTACGTAAATTGATATTGATAGAACCAAATGACTGACAGTTACTAACTACCATATTTTTATTAAAAAAAAGTAAAATCTCAAATTTTATAAATATGAGAAAATAAGAATAGTATATGAAATTAAAAAACATATTTATTCACATTATTGTTTAAGAAAATATAAAATAGTGATAGTCAAAAATTGATTAGAAAAAAATTAAATTTAATAATTAAAAGCATATTAATTATTTTTTTTTGAGCAAGCATATTAGTTACATGTAATTTTTTTAGAAAGCGTTTTGAAGTTGACAAGGGTCACTGGTTAAATGTCACTGATTTTTAACCGGTTTATCACTTTTTCTCAAATCCAAGTTTTGAACCGAACCGGACTCTACTTCTTTAACGAGTCACGGCCAGTCCGTTTTGGTTTACCAGTGATGAAAGGAAGGTTGATCTCAGTCTGAGATGTGGAAGAAAGCTCGATCTTGGCCTTCTCTGCAGCTTCTCTTAGCCTTTGGAGGGCGAGCTTGTCCTTGGTCAGATCAAAGTTGTCTGATCTCTTGAACTCAGACCAAATACTCCAACAAAGTGTTGTCGAAGTCTTCTCCTCCCAAAAGGTATCTCCATTCGTTGCTTTGACCTGATAAAAGACAAAACCATGTCACATAACCATGCAAATGAAAGGATAACACATCACACACACAACTAACTAAGAACAGAGCCAGTTTCAGATGCAATGAAAAGCCACAATGGACCAAACTCCAAACTTTGTCTTCTCAGCATAGCACAAGACACACACACTACTAACTAAGAACATAACCAATTTTCGACAGCGAAGATTTCAGATGCAACAAAGAGACACAATGGATCAAACTGGAAACTTTGTCTTCTCAGTGTCACATAACACACACACACACACACATACACACTACTAACAACAGAACCAGTTTCCGACCACGAAATTGAAACGATATAAACAAACAACTAAACTTGAACTGAGATTGAAACGACACAAACAAACACATAATCAGCAGATTACGAATCTGAACCATCGAAGCCTCTTCTCCTCCTTCGACATCTCTATTTGAAGCTCAAATCTGACTCGAGTCAAGCGTTGTCGACGAAGATTTCATCATGGCTGAGAGAGATAGACAGAGAGCGGTTGAACTGAGAGAGTTTGAATCGTGAGAGGTTGATTCGAGTCAATCTTTGTGCGTAGATCTGATGATTTTGTGATTTTAGGTTTTTTACAATCGTGAGAGAGAGGTTTGAATAGATAGGTGGAGAAGATTGATTTTAGGCCACAAGATCGAAAAAAAAATTTTTAATAATTGTTTTAGAAATTATAATTTTATTGTTTAACTAATTTTATTTAGGGCAATTCTCCAGGATAGCCCTTTTGAAGTTTTTGTCTCCAAAATAGCATCAGAAGGAAAAAGTCACAAAAATAACCTTCATTAATTGGCAGAATATCTCTAATACCCTCACTAAATAAAACAGCTAACAAAAAATAAAAAAAATTCTTGGCTTCTCTTATCTCTCTCGTCGTCTCTCTCACCGTATCCTACATCTCTCTCACAGAACCACCAAGCTCTCGCATCTCCATATCTCTCGATCTCCATCTCTCTCGATAAACCTCCAACGGTCTCTCTCTCTCTTCTCTATCTCTCTCAAGGATTCGAATTTAAGAAATTTCCTACTGAATTAGATCGACCTTTACTGGAAAGTCTCTGGCTTTTCTTAATTTATTGATTAGGAACTAAAGTTATTTAATCTAGACTGATTTTGAGGGTTTTAGAGTTAAATTCATGATGATCAACACAATGTCTGGTAAAAATATTCATTATGTTTTAGAAAAGTGTTTTCTTTTTCTTCTTCTAGGTTTCACTGGGTCATTGAGACATATATATATATATATATATATATATATATATATATATATATATATATACATATATATATATATATATATATCTTTAATGAAAGCAAGCCCTTTTGTTCTCTCTCTTTGTTAACTCATTAGAGAGAGACTGTTGTTTTCAGGTTGGAAACTGTTATTGTAGGCTTTACCCTCAAACTTGTATAATCACAGATGAGGAGGTTATTCTCATGAATGCTAGGGATGCTTCTGTTGCTCAGTACCAGTTTGAATTGTGTAAACGCCTCCAGTCAAACCAAAACTTGAATCTCAAAGGTCTGTTGATTTTTGATATTAACTTTGATTTAGATTGCTAATAACATAAAGAACTGTTGTATGTGTTGATTTCAGATGATTTGCCGTTTGAATTTAAAGCCTTGGAGCTGGTTTTGGAACTATCTTGCTTGTTTTTAGATGCACAGGTATGCCCCCATTTGTCTCTTAAGATCATACTTAAAAACTCACAAGCTTTTGGTGGATTTTATTTTAAATAGGTGAATGAGTTAGAAATGGAAAGGTATCCTGTTCTTGATGAACTAGCCTCAAACATCAGCACACTTAATTTAGAACACGTACGAAGATTAAAAAAGTCGCCTCCTTGCCTTAACACAGAAAGTTCAGAAGGTAAACACACAAAGAACTCTTCAAATTTAGAAGAAAAAAAACAGAACCATACATTTTGATTTTGGGGGTTTATTAAAACTTGCAGGTTTGTGATGAAATAGAACATTTAATGGATGATGATGACGACATGGCTGAGATGTATTTGACTGAGAAGAAAGAAAGATCAGAGGCTCATGCTTCAGTGGAGTTGGAAGACAACCTCTATGAGGACTTTGAATCTTCTGGAATAGTTTAAAAGTCTGCGCCGGTTTCACCTGTTGGTTCACTTAGTTAGTTATATGAATTAGGATTTTCGATCTCTTGCCTTATGTGCTTGTGTTAAAGTGTACGGGCTTGTACTATATGAGTCAAGATTTTAGTGTGCTTAAAGCAGATTTTTCTTGGGGTTTATTGTCGTCATGTTACAGAAAAATCCTTTACATTTGAAGCTTTCTGTAAATGGAAATTGAAAAGCTTTCCTCTGCCATGCTGTGGTTTTGATAGTTATCAGACTGTTTTTTTTTGTTTCTGTGGGAGAGTAGGGATGAAAGTGTAACGAAAGCAGCGGTTGCAGGAAAGGGTGATCTTGCGGATGTTGTAGGAGAGAAGGCGAAGCCATTGTTCAGCAACTTCACCTTCTGTGGTGAGTTCCTCAGTGAATGTCTCGACTCAGAAGATGAAGATCTCAAGGACACTGCACGCTGGGCTCAAGGGATGATCGCAAGGCCTTTGGTCACATCGTAATACTAAAGCCCTTTTCATCATTTCTCTCTCTGTTGTCGTATTGGTTTTGAGTTAAGGATCAAAAAAAATATTATATTTTCTCTACCGAATGTTGTGCGATATTGGTTAGAGGGGTTTCGGAAATTGTTTTTTTTTCGAGTCGAGTCAATCTATGTTAAAGGAGCTTGTGTATTATTTGTCAAAACAAAATTTCTTTGTTTTTGTTGGTCAATGCCATCGTCCACTTATGGTGGTCTTTTTGAGTCAATTCTCTACCTTTCTCCACTTCTGTGTTCTTTGCTTCAGTTTTATATGTTAAGTTACTGTGGTGTTGTGGTAATGTTAGCTGAGAATACAGTGAAAATGTGGCATAGGAGGGCACAACAAGATCACATGCCAGAGGTCTATAGGATGAAGTTCCCTATTCATCTTTGCATGTTTATTTCTTCACAGTTTGTGGTCTTATGGATTTCACTTTCTTTTCTATGTGTCAATTGTTGATTAGTGTTGTGATTCATGGAATTTTGTGAGTTTGAATTGTCTAGTTTGAGGTTTGTATTGTTAGGACTTCACTTAAGTAAGATATGTGGTTGGAGTAATTGCTTATGTTTCCACTGTTGGAATTGTAGCGTGAGTATCCCAAACTTCAAGGAACTTACTGTTATGTTTTGTGCTTGTGAAACTCTCTAGTGTTTATAAAAAATTTAGGAAGTGTTTGTACAGTTTCAGGAAAGCCTTTCCATAATAGTTTGAAATTTTGATACTTTTTTTTCTTGGTGTCTTGTTATGCTTAGGCATGTTGATTCCTTGATAGGCTATTGAATTTTCTTATTAGTCTCTTTTTGCTTGTGCTTGTGAAACTCTCTAGTGTTTATAAAAAAATTAGGAAGCGTTTGTACAGTTTCAAAAGAAAGCCTTCCAGAATAATTTGAAATTTTGAATTTTTTTTTTCCTTGGTGTCTTGTTCTGCTTAGACATGTTGATATATTTGATTGGCTCTTGAATTAGCTTATTGGTCTCTGTTTGCTTGTGCTTATGAAACTGTAGTGTTTATAAAGTTTTCAGAAAGCGTCACAGTAAGCCTTCCAAAATAATTTGAATTTTTTTTTTCTTGTTTACGCAGGACAGAGACAAGATGGAAGATTCATTACCATCAAGACTAGCACTCTGAGGTATCCGATTGGTTCAGAGCCAAAGGAAAAATCGGCAATCAACCAACATTCAACCTCAGCCTATATCTCGATCGTTGAGAGCATTCTAACAGAAGATATATCTCCAGAAAATGTGGTAATATTTATTCTGAAAGGTGTATTTGAATATATTTTGAAAGAAAAACTCTTCATGTTTACACAGGACAACAACACGATGGAAGATCCAGTACATGAAATATTGTCACTGCCTGATCTCAAGTTTCCTATAACATCAGAGCGAAAGCCAAGAGTGACAATAAACCAATGTGCGAGCGCGGCTTATATCAGAACTGTCTCGGGTATTTTTAAGCCAGAATAGTTAGACAGAAACCAAATGATGTTTTTTTTTTTTCATTTAGATTGTTATTGAAGAACTTTCAGGATGTTTTCAAGCAATTTGTAATTATATCAAGAAAATACTAAAATGTGTTATAGTTTATGGTACTTTTAGGATAGATTTTCAGAAAATAAAAGGAGTCAGCATACGCCTTCACTTACTAAGTGAAACAGTGTATGTTTTTTAAATTTCAGGAAGGATTTGTGTTGTTTCATGAAGGATTTGTGTAGTTTCAGGAAGGATTTGTGTAGTTTCAGGAAAGCTTTCCAGAAAAGTTGATGTTAACAAATTTGAATACTTTTTGTTTGGTATCTTCTTGTTTGGCTTACCCATGTTAATATCTTTGATAGGCTCGTGAATTTTCTTATGGTATTGTTAGTTTTTTTCTCGTGCTTGTGAAATTGTTTAGTGGTTTTTAAATTTCAGAAAGATTTGTATAATTTCATGAAAGCTTTCCAGAAAATTTGATGTTAACAAATTTGAATTTTTTTTTGCTTTGGTGTCTTATTGTTTGGTTTACCGTTTACGCATGTTAATATCTCTGGTAGGCTCGTGAATTTGCTTATGACATTGTTAGTCTCTTGCTTGTGCTTGTGAAACTGTGTAGTGTTTTTTTTAATTTCAAAAAAGATTTGTATAATTTCAGGAAAGCTTTCCAGAACTTATTCAGGATAGGCTTCTAAAAACTAATATATATGTGATCTGGTGGATATCACGTAAACATTAAATAAACAAGATCAATAAAATGAACATTAAAAATGTAAATCATCAACAAACCATTGAAATGAAAAAGAATAGAACACATATGAATAAGAAACTCCAACATATAACATGAGAACCAAATGTAATAGTAGTTTGCTTGTTACTGCTAGCTGAATAAGTAATAACTTGCACGATTCAATTTTTTTGGAAAGTTTAGTACATGACCAGGAAGCTTATCCTGAATGGTCTAAGAAAGAAGAAAATCATACAAAACAAACAAACAAAAATTTAGAAATGATGTGCATGTTTTTCTCTCTGCACATGTAAAAACTGGAATATAATTCAAAGGAGCAGGAGAAGCAAATGTATCAGTAGTTTGCTTGATACAACTAGTTGAATCTGTAATAACCTACTAGTAAAGATAAGCAAATGTAAGCAAATGTATCAGTAGTTTAGAAAAGCTTCATGAATTTTTTTCTTGATCAACTAGTAATTAACATTCAATTTAGGATGGTCATCCTAAGCTTCATAAAAATACTCATACACATTTTAGTAAGATATTCCAAAAAGCTTATATTGTCTTTCTCAATCTGTAAGAATGTCTTTTTAAACAATAAAATTTCTTTAAGAAATTCAGGGAACCCTTTCCTCAGAATTTGAAAAAATTTCCTAAATTTGTTTTTCAGCAACTAATAATTTACATACAATTTAGGATGGTCTTCCTAAATTCGTGTGAATCTTTCCTAAACGTTTAAGAAAGCTTCATAAATTATATAACATAACATTTCTAGATATCTTAAAATACTCATATACATTTTAATAAGATTTTTTAAAAAGTTTATAGTGTTTTTCTCAATCTTTAAGAATGTCTTTTCAAAACAACAGAAAAACTTTTAAAAAATTTCAGGAAAGCCTAACCTAAAAGTTTAGAAAAGCTTCCTAAATTTGTATGAATCTTTCTAAAAATTCAAGAAAGCTTCATAAATTCAAAAACTATATCATTTTCAGTTATCTAAAAATAGTCATACACATTTTAGTAAGATATTTCTAAAAGTTTATAATGTCTTTCTCAATCTTTAATAATGTCTTTTTCAAACAATAGAATGTTTTTTGAAAATTTTCAGGAAAGCCTTTCCTAAGAATTTAGAAAAGCTTCATAAATTTTTTTTTATCAACTAGTAATTAACATACAATTTAGGATGGTCTTCTTAAATTCGTGTGAATCTTTCCTATGAATTCAAGAAAGCTTCATTCTAAAACTTAACATTTCTAGATATCTACAAAATACTCATACACATGTTAGTAAGATCTTTAGAAAAGTTTATAATGTCTTTCTCAATCTTTAAGAATGTGTTTTTAAAACAACATAAACTCTTTAAAAATCTCAGGAAAGCCTTTCCAAATAATTTAGAAAAGCTTCCTGAAGATTAATATATTATCTGGAAGCTCATCATGAACACGCTCATGGCTTTCCAAATTTTATAATACATTATCTTCGGTCCGGAAACTCATTATGAACACTCTCAATGCTTTCCAAATTTTAGAATACATTATCCTGAAGATTAATATAATAAACTCTAAACCTTAAAACATAAACTCTAAACCCTAAACCTTAAACTTTAAAACCTAAACCCTAAAATAATTACCTTAAATCCTGAGACCTAAACCTTCAACCCTAAACTCTAAACCTAAACCGTAAACCCTAAAAAAAATCAACCCTACATCCAAACCCCTAAAACATGAACTTTAAGCTATAAACCCTAAAACATCAACTCTAAACCCTAAACTCTAAACCTTAAACCTTAAACCTTAAACCTTAAGCCTTAAACCTTAAACCTTAAACCTTAAACCTTAAACCTTAAACCTTAAACCTTAAACCTTAAACCTTAAACCTTAAACCTTAAACCTTAAACCTTAAACCTTAAAGAAGATTAATATTTATCTGGAAAATCATCCTAAACACGTTCATGGCTTTCCAAATTGTAGAATACATTATCTTCAATCCAAAAACTCATCCTGAACACGCTCAAGGCTTTCCAAATTTTAGAATACATTATCCTGAAGATTAATCTTGGTTTAACGCTACTACTTATCTCTTATCATTTTTGTGATTTCTTAATGGGTTTCAAGACTTACCTTTGGTTAGAATTCTGCAAGTCGCTTTGTGCTTTTTCTTTGTAAGTTTAGTTCAACAGTCTTCTACGTTTGATGAAATTGATGGTTAATTGTATAAGAAAGAAGAAAATCATACAGAAACAAACAAAATTAAGATTTTGAGTGCAATAGAGGAAAGTCTCGTTATACATGTCGTGGTTTAACCAAAATAAGAATTGTACACCATATTGGAAAGAATCAAATGAAGTTGTCTAATTTTTTAAAATAAAATTACTTAGCTCATTTCTTCATCCTCAATTATACAAATGAAGTTATTTATTTTACTTGTTTGGCTTATGCATGTTGATATCTTTGGTTGGCTCGTGAATTTGCTTATAACATTGTTAATCTCTTGCTTGTGCTTGTGCTTGTGCTTGTGCTTGTGCTTGTGCTTGTGCTTGTGCTTGTGCTTGTGCTTGTGCTTGTGCTTGTGCTTGTGCTTGTACTTGTGCTTCTGCTTGTGAAACTTTGTAGTATTTTTAAAATTTTAGGAATGATTTATGTAGTTTCAGGAAAGCTTTCCAGAAAATTCGATGGTAAAAAAAGTTGATTTTTTTGGGTGTTTTCTTGTTTGGCTTAGTCATGTTATATCTTTGATAGGCTCGTGAATTTTCTTATGAAATTGTTAGTCTCTTACT